TAAAGTTTTATTTGGATTAATTTTTTCGATATTTCATATTATATTTGAATTAATTTTTATGTAATATTTTTAATGTTATATTTTGTAAATTATTTTCAAAAAATATATTAAAAACAACATTCTGTAGAACCCGCTTTCCAGGTGGATAACCAGATCATCATAAGACACTTTCTATAGAATGCGCTTTTGCTGAGTGGGATGCAACGTGTGCAAAGCTTGTTGTGTAGAACGCGTCTTATTGCTGTGTAGTAAGAAAGAGTGACACTTTGAAAAGTATTATCAAAAGGATAATATATCGGTAAATAATAAATTTTAGGGTAATTTTTAAGTAAAATTGCCTCCTTTCTAAATAAAAAAGTGAATATATATTTTATTTTAAATCGGAATGGATCCACGACATTCAATGTCATTAAATTAAAGAAATAAAATTAATGATGTATGGGGCGACGTCTAAACCTACTCCTAAAGGTTTTATTACATGCAGCGGTGTTTTCTTTGTTGCAGTTTTCATTAAATTTGGTGTGTTTATAGGGGATGGTGATGCACCGCTGGGATTTCCTTCCTTTCTCAATGGACAAAACAAGTCTGGATCAGGTTAGGCCAAGCATGATTGAATCATCTACTCATATGTGTGAAGAAGAAAATGAACTGGAAGAAGATGAACTCGAAGTGCGTTTGTCCGAACTCAGGACTCAGATGTCGTGCCTTATTGCTTGTTAGTTTCCCCTTTTATGTTTCTGCATCCCCTTTGAGTTATAGAATTATAATCCCTTATTTGATGTAGATTGCTCAACTAAGACTCGATGGAGCAAAGGTATTAGAAGCAACTCACCACATTAGACAAAAGTTCTTTGATGCAGCCGTTGAAAACAGAGTTTTGAAAGCCCGAGTTCTTTGATCTGTACTTAACACAATGGTGAACTCTTTTCTGTTTTATAGGTGAAACTGGCTGAAGAATCGGTGAAAAGAATCTTGGGTTAGAATGATGATGCCCTCATTTAACAGTGAAGAAAAGCAGCAAAAGCATACCGTGAAGAGACCTAATTTCTGGCAGAATGCCTTGGCTTAGAATGACCAATTAGTAATAGAATTTCTAGTTTGAAGCAGTGTTATTCTTTATGTTAATTATGTAGTAATGAACTAATTTCAACTGCAGAAAAGATTGATTAATCAGTACAATAGTCAATTTTATACAATTATATTTTAAAATTTGCATCCAATACATATGTTTTTTTTATGGAAAGTGAATCACAGTTCATATTGGTGGGGGAGGGGGGGGGGGATGGAGGCGGATGTCTTTCGAAGAGCCGTCAATGTGAAACTTAAGTTTAACTCGAACGATTCATACTATTATATGCACTGATTTTTCGATTTTCAAATTATTTGAATTTGAGAAAGTGATGCTTCTTAAGTTCATACAGATCTAAATAACGTTATTCTTAATTTGAGTTAATCTGAATCTTTATTTAGCACTTATAAAATACTCTTATTTTACAAATTTTAAATAAATTTGTTTTTTTTTATTTTCAAATTGCAATGTTACAAGTAATGCTTGTTTAGTGGTTTATGTAGATTTATTCAAAAGCAATAATCAATCATCATTGAGCCAAGGCATATCCAAATAATGTTGTTCGTAATTTGGGTTGATTGGAATTTTTAATTAACACTTATACAAAATAACTAGAAAGATATATTAATCAATGATATAATATACATAAATAATCTTATTTGATTACTTTTAAATAAACTTAATTATTTTTTATTTGTTTAAATAAATTTAATTATTTTCCCCTAAGGATCAGTTTGACATTACTTTTGAAAAATGACTTTTAAAAGTGTTTTAGAAAATAACTTAAAAGTATTTTTCAAAAGTTCAATTTAAAATTTAACTGTTTGAGATTGTTACTTAAAAATGATCTTGAAAAGATAAAATGTCTATTTTAGATATTATATTGTTAGTGAAAAATATAACATTTAAATTATATTTATACTTATTAATACTATGATATATAAAATATATCAACTTAGACTATAATAAAAATATAAAAAATATTTTAAGATAACTTATTAATAATATTTTTATATATGAAATAATTTATTAAGAAAAATATATTATCGATATTTTTTAACATTTGAATTTTAAAATAATATTTTAATTATAATGATTTAACCACAATCACTCATTTAAAATTTAAAATAAAATAATTTAAATGATATATCTATCCTTTTAACCATTTCAAAAATAAAAAATATAAAGATATATATTATAAATAAATTTAAAAGAAATCATTATTATATATGGAATATATCAATTTAAAATATAATAATTACAAATAAAAATAGAGAAAATAACCTCAATGACCAAAAATACATTATAATATACGATTTTAACCAACTTTTTTTGGATTTGTCAAAATGACCAACTAAATCGCAATGCGATCGATAATTCGCAACGCGATCTCCGGTATCACAAATCAGTTTCCAGATTCACAACGCGAACTTCGACTATCGCAACGCGAACCTGGACTATCGCAATGCGATTTACATATTCGCATTGCGATAGTCCAAGTTCGCGTTGCGATAGTCGAAGTTCGCGTTGCGATTTTCCAAATTCGTTGCGATAGTCGAAGTTCGCGTTGTGATAGTGGAAGTTCGCGTTACGATTTTCCAAATTCGTTACGATAGTCGAAGTTCGTGTTGCGATTTATTCCAAATTTGTTGCGATAGTCGAAGTTCGCGTTGCGATTTATTCCAAATTCGTTGTGATAGTCCAAGTTCGCGTTGCGATTTATTCCAAATTCGTTACGACTGGTGGTATTGCATTTGTTTCTTAAGAAGTTTCTCTAAAAAGATAGTATTCGCGCGGACGTGTCGAAGACACGTATGACCACGACCACGACCACGACCACAACCACGACCCGAGACGAGACGAGACGGACGGCGGCAGCGGCGGCGCGCGAGAGTCCCCCTTGTTTTCTATCACTCAACAAGGAAGTGGGAAAGCCAAGCCTTAAATACCATTCCCAATAGTGTTTCCAATACTATGTGGGATTGAGCATTACCAACACTTGTTTCCAATACAATGTGATTATTCAGGAAACAATTAATAATCATGCACCTTAAAGCAACTGAATCAGCAACCAATTGCATTAGTATTATACGATTAAATATGTCATAATTAAAAGTCAATCTACAATCAATCGCGATTATTGCAATTTTAAGCAAAACATTCAAAAATAATATCACTATTTAAGGCTCAATCCCACATAGTATTGGGAACAAGTGTTGGTAATGCTCAATCCCACATAGTATTAGAAACACTATTGGGAATGGTATTTAAGACTTGGCTTTCCCACTTCCTTGTTGAGTGATAGAGAACAAGGGGGACTCTCGCACGCCGCCGCCGTCTCGTCTCGTCTTGGGTCGTGGTCGTGGTAATACGTGTCTTCGACACGTCCGCGCGAATACTATATTTTTAGAGAAAATTCTTAAGAAACAAATACAATACCACCAGTCGTTGCGATTTTGGACTAGCGCAACGAATTTGGAATAAATCGCAAAGCGAACTTCGACTATCGCAACGAATTTGGAAAATCGCAACGCGAACTTCGACTATCGCAATGCGAACTTGGACTATCGCAATGCGAATATGTAAATCGCAATGCGAATATGTAAATCGCAATGCGAATATGTAAATCGCAATGCGAATATGTAAATCTCAATGCGATAGTCGAAGTTCACGTTGCGAATATGGAAACTTATTTGCGATAACAGAGATAGTGTTGCGAATTATCGATCGCATTGCGATTTAGTTGGTCATTTTGGCAAATCCAAAAAAAGTTGGTTAAAATTGTATATTATAAGACATTTTTGGTCAGTGAGGTTATTTTCTCTAATTGAAATGCATAGTCACATAATTTGAGATCAGACAAATGCAAATAAATAAATAATATTATAAATTAAGAAAATAATATATTCCTTGATAGTGTGTATAAGAAATAGAAAAAAAGTAATAGTGTGTGTGACGATTATGATGATGATGGCGACGACGACGATGATGATGGTGCTTGTGATGATCATGGTGGTGATAATAAAGGTAAGTGCCAACCAGAATATGGACCCATTTATTCTACTACTTTTCATGGAGGTCAAGGTACTTCGATATATCCTTACGATGATAATTCAGGTTTGTATAGAACAAATACATCACAAAATATAAGAAATGATGATGATATAACTCATAGGAAGATGGGAGAACACTTTTATGATTCATTTGTAGGTTCATCATCATATATTTCAACTACAAATGATAATGAAATTAGTGAATCATCTCACGGTTCTTTTCTTACCAATCAAATTCATGTTATCCACCTTACCTTAACAAAATCCAAGTTATGGATTTTTTTGTCATTATTTATCATACAATATGTTTTCTACCATTGATGCACTTATGATGCACATAATGTGATGTCTTCTTCACATGAAATAGGAAGAAATTAAAACCAAGACAATGACGAAGATAGAAATGTTTTAGATCCGCCTTGCCATTTATTTTGGTGGTGAATTGTAAGATATAAAATTTTTATATTTGTAGTTATGTATTTTTTTCCTTTCTAAGTTATATAAAATGAATATTTTTATGTTACAATACAAAAAAATTGATATGATTTTAGTGATATTATATATGTTATTCATTAACATTATAATTGTTATTACTCACTATCCAGTATAATAGTACTTCTATGGTTTATATTTATTTTTAATAAATTTTTATCTATGAAATTAAATTTTTATTTTCAAAATAAAATATTAAAAGAGTATATTAATATTAGTATACTAAAAGATAACTGTAAAATGTATAAATATAATATTTTAGACATATTGTGAATTTTGAGGAAGAGATCACGTCCGCAACAGCATCAACACGTCACATAACGTTCGTAGCATCCATAACCCTGACTCCGTATTCACAACAAAATTTACAACCGCAATTTGATACTATGAAGGAGACCCCAGAATCTCACTTCTTTAAGGTTGATCTTCCTGGGCTTAAGAAAAAGAAAGTGAAAGTTGAGGTTGAAGATGACAGGGTGCTTCAAATCAGCTGCGAGAGGAAGATAGAAAAGGAAGATAAGAATGATTTGTGGCGCCTTGTGGAGAGGAGCAGTGGAAAGTTCTCGAGAAGGTTTAGGTTGTCGGAGAATGTGAAGATGGATCAAGTTAAAGCTTCTATGGAGAATGGGGTTCTTACCGTAACTGTTCCTAAGGTGGAAGTGAAGAAACCTGATGTCAAATCCATTGACATTTCTGGTTAAAAACTGAAAAGAGTTTGAAGGGTTTTTGTTGGTGAATGATGCTAGAATTAGGCTATGGCTTGTAAAACTGTAAAGTTTGAATTAATAAATGTAAGTGATTCTTTTATTTTCATTACCTTTCTCTTTCTGGAGATTGTTGTTCCTGTAAGGTCAAATTCTATGGGTGATCCTGGTAAGTAACTTAAGTTGCAAAGATCAAGTCCCAGGGAGTGGAATTCCATGTGTGCTTCTATATGTTGAGAGATTGATCGTCAAAGACTTAAAATGTGAAGTTATCGGTAATGAAGCAACAAACCCACAAGTGCACTTGAACGGAGAGAGGTGACATTTTAGTGGGACATAAACAGAGATGGAAAGGGTTGCAGAGAGCTATTGGAGGAGATAAAGAAAAGAGGGAACTTTAAGATTTGGAAAAGGAGAAGGTGAATGAAGATTAAAATGATACCACATGATCAAATAATATCAAAAAAAGTTAGACTAATGTGAGTAGGGATGGCAACGGATCTTGGACCCGACCCGAATCTGTAGATTCATATTCGTTGATAAGTGCTTTATTTGGTTATTATTTTTCTTTTAAATTGTTCTATAATCGTTGGTTTTTGTGGCTTATTTGTTCGTTTTGATTCATTTTCTGTGCAGGGCACTAGATAATGTAAATTGTATTAAGAGGACAAAATTCTGTAGTTTTTTTTTATTTTCGGAATCAAAACTGGATTAGTGAGCATGACTTCGGGCATGACGCATCTGACGAGGCGATATGTCAGCACCTTCTAGAAGGTCCAGGCAGCGCTTCTAGAAGAACTAATGGATCAACCACACGTTTCTGCAATTCAAATTTGAGTTAAACTCATGTTTTAGGATATAGTTTAAATATTATATTTTATCTTATCTTTGTTTCTAGTATTTTAGTTTAAATAGTTTTAAGCATTTTTATTAGGATTTATCTATTTATTTAAGTAATTATATTTACATTCTTTTTAGGATTTTGAAGGCTATAAATACTCTCTCAGAGTAAGGCTAAAAACATATCTCTACATTCAGAAATCATTCTTTTTCTTTCTCTAGTTTTTAATAAATTTTTTTCTTTTCTTTTTCAATGTTCTTCTTTGTTTTAATTTTATTTTCAAAGATGCTAAGTATGACTTTGGTCATGCTTAGCTAATTTTCTTTTAAGCCGAAGGCTAAAGTGATAGCTCAATTCCAAACGTGAGAATTGTAAGGCACTTAAATCACTTCGGATATCTCTCTCTATTTTCTAGGCTTATTTTCAAATCAAAACAATTTTCAAAACCAAAAAGTGGACGTTGGTCTGGATGTTGTTATGGTTAATGTGGGAGGAAGGATCGGCTTATTGAAGCACATTTGACTTCCTGAGAACACACTTAGCAAAATTGTTTGATAAGATGAAAATTGAGATCAGAACCAGTTATTATTGAAACAACATAATCCGAGTCGACAACTTTTCGAGCCTCAATGTTTTTAGATCTACAACATTGTTGTTGCTTAGATCAATTCACAAATCGATATTAATGATTGCACTTGGGTATTCGGTATACAAAGCATAGTAACAAAGATTTGACCTTGTAGACAAGTGACAAACATGAATCCTAAAGTAAAGATCTATTTCGATGATCCGAGGAAACTGAGTCAAAGCTGAAAGCCTGAGGCTACTTTTTACAATAAGTATTCTTTTCAAACTCCAATTATTATTTTACTCTATTTATTATTTTTTTCTACTTTGTCTTTATCTTATCTTCAAATAGTTTTAATTAACTCAAACCCCCTATTTATCTTATTCTTATCTCATCTTTTATTTTTATATTTTTATTTATTTTTGTCCTTAAATTTCATCCCTATCCAAACACTACCATTAAAAAACAAGAAGATAACTGAATCAGAAACTGCAGAGTCTCTGTGGGAACGACCCTTACTATCCACTTGCTATATTTTCTTTATATTTCTTTTGGGATTAAGATGTTATTTTGATACAAAAATGACGCGTGTCAAATCGGTGCCATTGTCGGGGACTAACGACAAGTATTGATTTATTTTTCTTTGTTTTTGATTTACAACCAGAAGAAACCCAAGGAGAATTAGTAGATCTTGACTCGGAGATCAAAGCACGAGCATGAAGAATCCACACACAAACGCTTCGAGAAAAAAGAAAAAGACAAGAATACCAAGAGCAGAGTTCAGAAACATAATCAAATCTGGAGACAGACTCTGAAGAATATGCATATAACAAAGATCAAATCCCGATGGTAGAAAAAGAAGAAGAACAACAACAAATAATCCGAGAGCTATCCGTAACTCCTGTCACTCAGACGCCATTATGCATCACTTTTTCTAATGGCGGGACTCCATTTTTAGTTAAAGATAGAACTTATTCATCTTCTTCTTTCTTCCCACTTTTCACGGCCTTTCCAATGAAAATCCGCACAAACACTCATTAGAATTCCACATGGTTTGCACTAGCATGAACCCACATAGAGTTATCGAATATCAAATTAAATTGAGAGCTTTCCCTTTCTCTTTAGCCGGCCTGGCTAAAGATTGGTTATTTTATTTACCTCCAAATTCAGTTAATTCATGGGCTGACATGAGTCGATTTTTTCTTGATAGGTTCTTCCCAGCTGCTAAAGCAAGCGAGTTACAAAGGAGCATTCTCTCCATTCAGTAAAAGAGTGAAGAAAGTCTTTATGACCATTGGGAACGATTTAAAAAGCTTTGCGCAAGTTGTCCATAACATGGATTAAGTGAGAAAACGTTACTTCAATACTTTTATGAAGGTTTTTTACTATGGAAATGAAAATGGTAGATGTTGTTAGCGGAGAAGCATTAGTTGACATGAACCAACAACAGCTAGATAGTTGATTTAAACCATGGCCGCTAACTCTTAACAATTTTCAAGTGGACCCAGCTAAAGGTTTCACGAGATAAGTACCTTTTTCATTGAAAATAAATTATATAAATTAATTGAAGTACTTAATTCAATTGTTACAGGAAAATCTGGGGTAACAAGAGCATGTGGGATATGCACGAAGTTGGACCATCCGACGAACTGATGCCTGATGATACAAGAAGGAGGCAATGCATAAATCAATGTCGTAGGAAACTTTCCAGGTCATTCACAGAGACCGTAGAAACCATATAGTAATACTTATAATTCGATATGGCGAGACTACCCAAATTTCAGCTATGCACTAAATCAAACGCCAACTTATCAACCGATACCTCTTCCTCAACAACAAACGCAAAAGCCATCATTGGAGGAAATCATAGAAAAGTTAGGAATTGCATAAGAAAAGCTGGTTACATCCCAGGAAAAGCTAGTTGCATCCCAGGAAAAATTCCAAAGCTGAACCGAAACACATTTTCAAAAGTTGGATAAACAAGTTAGCCGACTGGCTCAAACTGTGGGGAAATTGGAATCACAAGGAAGACTACCGTATCAAACAAAGATAAATCCAAGAGAGAATGTTAGTGCCATCACACTTCGAAGTGGAACATTCATCTCACCCGAAGTTCCAGAAGAAAAAGGCACATATTTCAATGAACAAGAAGAAACACCACCGCCAAGAATACAAGGTACATCTACAACACATCCTCCTCCTTCTTCTCATTAAATCGCACTACCCTTTCCATCAAGATTGTTAAAACGTGAGGGTTGTTTTTTATACTTATTAGTAGTTATATTATTTCCCTTCCTTCGCTTTAGTTTTATATTTCACATTATTCTGTAATGTAATTTTTATTTATTTATGACAAAGACACTTTTAAAGGAACACATGCTTGTTCCACTATTAATGTAGACTGTGATGATGAAGTGGAGGAAATCATTGACATAGTATATAAGAAAGTTATTATATTACATAACCTTAATATTAATATTTAAATTTAACAAATATTATTTTTTCATTAAACAAAATTTTCACTTCGATTGGTTGTTGTTTGTTTTAGGATGTTGATGATTTAAGTAGTGATGAAGTCTAGCACTCAAAGGAGGTAGAACTGTAGTACTCAGCTTGTGATAATAGAATGTTTCATGATCTACATTTTTTAATGTTTGTATTATTTAAAAGACATTTGTGTAATTGTGTTGGAGTTTTTTTTTTTGAGACTTTAGTTTATCCTTTTTTATTCCGTTACTAGTTGTATTGAAATTAATCTTTCCTCAATAAGAGATATGATATGAAATTAGTCAATGAAAATTTTATTACATTAAAAAGTACGTCAAATGGTCATTTTTAATAGACTCGTTTTGGACTTAGATCCATGAGATCCATTGGATCTGGGTCCGAATCTTCTAAACACGCAGATCCGGGGCGAGTCTGGAACAAGGATGTGAAAATAAATTTGGATCTAGGTCTAGCAAGATCCGATCCAGATTTGGCCCATTGCCATCCCTAAATGTGACATTAATATTTTGTTATTCTAGTAATTATTGTTAACGATCAAGTGATCGGTTTGCTTAAAATTGATAATGTTAATGATTATACCACTATTTTTAAAACATTGGAAAATAGAAATATACTCAATCATTAGTAATTATTTATATAGTTTATAACTTTTAGTTTTAAATTAGGTGTCAACTATTATATTTTTAATTACATATGTATCATGTGGTTAAAAGCTTTCAATTTATACATTTTCCTTTTCACTCCTTTAGGTTATAGGTTCAATATTCATTATGAGTAAATTTTCCTTTCCTCTTCCCTAGGTATGAGTTATTCAAAAAATAATAATAATTAAAGTACTCTAATTGTTGAGCAACAATACAATTACTGATTAGTGTTCATTTTGATTAGTTAAGCGATTCACAATGAAGATAGCATTCCCTTCAATGATCACGTTCTTCTGCCCATTATCAATTGTCATGCGAATGCCTTCCGTGAAGGTTATAACTTCAGTCGATTCAGTAGTGTGAGTGTCTTTCAATTTTTTGTTCTTTAGCCCATCAACACTCCATGATGATCTCTAGTATCAATCCTTATCGTTCC